ATAGCTGTTTTGCCTGGCTGGTGTGGCTCAGTGGGATTGAACGTAGCCCCATCGAAATAACATAGCCTTCCTTAATTTAGCTTCAGGTTTTTTTTATTTATTTATTTATTTATTTTTTAAAATCAATCTTTATTGTTCATATTATTACAAAGGTTCCTCATTTCTTCCCCACTCCACCAGGTTCCCACCCCACCCTCTGCCCCCTCCCCATCCCCCATTGTCCTCATCCATAGGTGCAATTTATGTTCAGTCTCTTCTTCCCTCCCTTTCCCCAATAGTAAATCCCTTTTCAGATAGTAAATCTGTTACTTAGAATTTCCTCATATCAATAATACCTCCACATGCCCAATGATACACTTCACACAAAAGACATTTCCCAATAGGTCCACCAGCCTCATCCAGGCCCCACCCAAGGCACTCACAGATCAACACCCCAGTCCTAAACTAACTCAACACATCCAGATCTAAGCCTTCATCACCTGATTCAGCAGACCCTCAAGTTCCCACGAAAGTTTCCAGCCATGTCTGAGAAGCAGCCGTGGGGCAGGGGCAGGCGAGGAGCGAGCTGTTCTGGGCCTGGCTGCTCAGGGCCTGGCCTCTGTTGCTCTAGTTCGTTCCACAACCAGCTGCTCCGGGTCTGGTCACTGCCTCTCCCGACCTAGTTGCTCTGGACTTGACTGCTGCTGCTCCGGGCCTGGCTGCTCCCAGCCTGGCAGCCGCTGCTCCGGGCCTGGCCGCACCTGACCCGCCTGCTCCCCCAGGCCTGGCCACTCCCAGCCTGGCAGCCGCTGCTCCGGGCCTGGCCGCACCTGACCCGCCTGCTCCCCCGGGCCTGGCCGCTCCCAACCTGGCAGCCGCTGATCCGGGCCTGGCCGCACCTGACCCGCCTGCTCCCCCGGGCCTGGCCGATCCCAGCCTGGCAGCTGCTGCTCCGGGCCTGGCCGCTCCCAGCCTGGCAGCCGCTGCTCCGGGCCTGGCCGCACCCGACCCGGCTGCTCCCCCGGGCCTGGCCGCTCCCAGCCTGGCAGCCACTGCTCCGGGCCTGGCCGCACCCGACCCGCCTGCTCCCCCGGGCCTGGCCGCTCCCAGCCTGGCAGCCGCTGATCCGGGCCTGGCCGTACCCGACCCACCTGCTCCCCCGGGCCTGGCCGATCCCAGCCTGGCAGCCGCTGCTCCAGGCCTGGCCGCTCCCAGCCTGGCAGCCGCTGCTCCGGGCCTGGCCGCACCCGACCCGGCTGCTCCCCCGGGCCTGGCCGCTCCCAGCCTGGCAGCCACTGCTCCGGGCCTGGCCGCACCCGACCCGCCTGCTCCCCCGGGCCTGGCCGCTCCCAGCCTGGCAGCCGCTGATCCGGGCCTGGCCGTACCCGACCCACCTGCTCCCCCGGGCCTGGCCGATCCCAGCCTGGCAGCCGCTGCTCCAGGCCTGGCCGCTCCCAGCCTGGCAGCCGCTGCTCCAGGCCTGGCCGCACCCGACCCGGCTGCTCCCCCGGGCCTGGCTGCTCCCAGCCTGGCAGCCGCTGCTCCGGGCCTGGCCGCACCCGACCCGCCTGCTCCCCCGGGCCTGGCCGCACCAGACCCGCCTGCTCCCCCGGGCCTGGCCGCTCCCAGCCTGGCAGCCACTGCTCCGGGCCTGGCCGCACCCGACCCGCCTGCTCCCCCGGGCCTGGCCACTCCCAGCCTGGCAGCCGCTGCTCCGGGCCTGGCCACACCCGACCCGGCTGCTCTAGCTTCAGGTTCTTAATAGCAATCGGAATTAGGCTCTAGATACCTCCTAGAGTTTTATAATTAGTGGAAATAAAAAGTGATTATAGGAGTCTCGGGTGATTCAGTAATTACCATTGAAAACAAGTTTCCTTATTCACAAGGGTGGACATACTAATAAAATGTATGATTTTTTTTTTTAAAGCAATGAAAAAGTATGCCTGACATAATAGAGAGGGGGGAAGGAAAGATAAGAGAGTAGAGTATGAGGGTAATGATGGAAATCAGTTTAAGTTTCAACAGAATCTCTGTGCATGAGCGGTCTTGGCCCACAGCATGTCCCCTCCTCTGTAATGAATTTTCCTGTTTCTTTGGATACTCAAAATGTTTTGTTCAGCATAACCTGCCAAATTACAAAGATTGACAATGATGAAAGAAAAAAGCGCCAGACTCTTGATTTATAGAAAAGAAGGGATGCCTTTTTGAGAAGTCCCTCAATAGACTGGAGACACCCTGATTTTGAAACTGAAGATACTGTGTCATGTGCACTCTCTTCAAGGCAGATTTTTTTTTCTTTATTTAAAAAAATATATATATTTTATTGATTTTTTTTTACAGAGAGGAAGGGAGAGGGATAGAGAATGAGAAACATCGATGAGCATCATCTATCAGCTGCCTCCTGCACACTCCCCACTGGGGATGTGCCTGCAACCAAGATACATGCCCTTGACTGGACTCTAACGTGGGACCCTTCACTCCACCGGTCAACACTCTATCCACTGAGCCAATCTGGTCAGGGCAAGGCAGATTTATTTAAGGCAATTTCATTTTTAGATGGTCACCAGAATTTAAGTCCTGTTTGTAAAACTGAAGTGAGGAAAGATACATCAGCCAGATTCAAATCTGTGCTTCAGTGGAAAAAAGCCAGGAAAAACAATTCCCCAAATCAGTGGAGCTTCGCATTATTATTGCTCCATCACTTTGGTGACAGGATAACTTGAAGGGGCCGGTGGTGGTGATATGAGTAAAACAGCTCTTTTGCTGAGTCAGTGTGTGTATATATTCTTTATATATCCACACAGCTGGTTTCATCTCAGTGAGGCAGCTACTGATGTGAGGAAAGTTAAGTAGCGAATTTCCTAGAAGCAGCTGTGGCTTACTTACCTAAACACAGCGGCTATTGTTCCCACTTTGTTAGGCAAATAAGAAGAAGGTATAGAATATCATGTTTGAAGAGAGACCCTTGACAGTGAGTTATGCCAACATCTGAGGTGCAGAGAGGCAGCTCCTTGCAGTGTGACTGGCTACAGCCTTGCTGTCCCCTCCCCTGGTACCACCACTCTCCTTTGGAGTGAGGCCCAGTTGTTGGTCAATTCATTGGAGGGCATTCTCCAAGTATATGCGCTGGAGGTAGCAATATCCTTGGGTCATGACTAACTGGCCGAATTGACCTGGCTCTCTCACCACGTAAAAGCTCCACCAGTTAGGGGCAATCATGCAGGCAGGCAGGTAAGCAGTTAGGAGCCAGCGGTCCCAGATTGTGAGAGGGATGTCTGACTGCCGGTTTAGGCCTGATCCCCAGCCTAAACCTCGGACATCCCCCAAGGGGTCCCGGATTGGAAAGGGTGCAGGCTGGACTGCGGGAACACCCCCCCCCCCCGCCTCAATGCATGAATTTCATGCATCAGGTCTCTGGTACCTATTATAAAAGGGGTCCTCTTACTGCAGGGAGTTTTGATTACTGCTTGTTCCTTATGTTACAAATTCATTTATTCAATGAACATTTATCAACTGCCTGTTGTGTGTCATACTGAGCAGGGCAGTAGAGTTATAACATGACCAAGATTGACATTGTTTTTATCCTTATGAAATGAAGGGGAAAAGAGTAAATAAATTAATAGTTATGATTAGAGTTAAGGGCACAATAGGATATTATAATAGACTATAAAATGGAAGGAGGAATAATGAGTATTTAAAATAAAAAGACAGAGAAGGTCCTCAAAGGTCTTTGAGGAGACAGCAATTACATTAAGACTTAAATTCAAAAGAACCAGACATATGAGGAGCATGTGAGGCAGTATAAAAAGATATGTGCAAAGGCCCGAGACATGATCAGCCTTGATCCTCTTTAAAGAAAAAGCAAGGCCAAAGTAACTGGAAGGCACCTAGATCACCTAGGCTCTTGAGGATCAAGAGGAGGCAGATGAGAGGTGTGGGGAATCCGGTGCATAGTTGAAAATAGGAGTTTGGCATTGAGAGGAGAGGCCTAGTTTGGGACATGACTCTGGGAGTCATCAGCATTTCAATAGAGAGCCACCTGAATGGTAATCTAATCTAGGAAGAGCTTTTGAAGAGAGGATAGATAAGGGCCTGGTAAAGAAAAGTAGGAATATCCACAACACGGTGGGAAGGTAGGAGGAAAACCAGGAGACTTTAGATCTGTGGAAGCCAGAGAGGAGGATGCTCAAAGAGAGCTAGTCAAATGTGTCATTTTTGTTAAAGGTCTAGAACAGCACAGTCTTGTACAGGAGCCACCAGCTGCATGTAGCTATTGACCCCTTAAAATGTAACTTGTGCAAATTGAAATGTACTATAAGATGCACATCATGTACAGCTAAGACTAATACAATGGTATATGTCAATTCTATTTCAATTAAAGAAATACACACCAGATTCAAAGACTGAATTAAAAAAAAAGAATGAAAAATACTTCATTACTATTCTTTAAAGTAGTGTTTACATGTTGAAATGACAATATTTGGGATATATTGAATTAAATAAAATACACTGTTAAAATTCTGCCTGCTTTTCATTTTTTAAAAAATAAGGCTACTAGAAAATTTAAAATTGCACCTGTGGTATGCGTCCTATTTCTGTTGCAGAGTTTGGCAATGTGGAAGTCATTTTCAAACTTGGTGAGAGTAAGCTGCCTCAGACGAAGTAATTCCAAGCAAATTGTTTATACTTAGAGGAGACTGAATCAGCATTGTAATGCTAGTAAACAAATGAATAATTATGAGAAGAGCTATGAAGGGCAACAACAGGATATGCCTAAATCAAGGATCAATATTCACCACTAAAAATTCTTTCAGAATTTTTGAGATGTATATAAATGGTTTAAATGATTTCACATAAATTGACAATATAATATATAAGTATTTAAATTAAATACTTTAAAATCAACTCTGAAATGTGGTTTTTCGGTCTTTTTTAACCTGTGTTTTCTTTCCCTTTTTCCTTCTTTCTTTTTATTTAAAATTTATTTTATTTTTACTTATTTATTTTGCATATCTGGCCAGGAAACTTCATGGTGTTATGGTCAACTTGCCGCACAACCGTGTTCAAATCTGTCACTAACAGGTTCATTAAAAACCTGGCCTGCTCGGGGATTTGTGCCAGCCTGGTCTGTGTGCCCTTCGATATCATCCTCAGCACCAGCCCTCACTGTTGCTGGTGGATCTATACCATGCTCTTCTGCAAGGTCGTCAAATTTTTGCATAAAGTCTTCTGCTCTGTGACTATCCTCAGCTTCCCTGCCATTGCCTTGGACAGGTAAGGTCAGGTAGCCAAAGGCCCAATTTTTGAAAGTATATTGAAATATTAGCATCATGAAGCAAATGGGAAATAGTCATTATTCCACTATTTTAGTTTATGGTCAACAGAAAGAGAATGAATTGCCAGATACCTCACACAAGACAGGTGGACTTCACAGCAGCTATGGAAAATAGGACCATTGGAAAAAGATGTGAGGTTGGGAGTCACATCACTATGCTGAGGCAGAGCTACTGGAGCCTGGTGTAGCTTCAGCTTGGTTGGAATTGCTGGTATTTGTGTGGCAATTTGCAGTAGATAGGCTCATCTGATTGATAACTCCACAATTAGGGTTTTTGGTGTAAGACAAAAGCATTTCTGGTTGAACAGGAGAACAATTCAGTGTTATTTAACAAAAGATTAGATAGTCCAATTGGCCAGAATTCCTTTAGAGGATTTATTTCCAAGGCCTTATATTGTGATGGTTGTTATTTTCTCTTCTCATCCTCTTGAGGAGGATGTTCATTTGGAAATGAATCTTACTACATACATAATTTGATCAAATTTATTGGAGTTTAAAGATCTTAGTAATCAACAGCCTCCTGTCTTTTCCCTTTGTTGCTAGTCTTTCATGAATACAGTTGACATAATAATACAGGGAATAGAATAGAAACGTATATAAATACTTTCCAATTCTTGTTAAGAAAACAAGAATTGGAAAGTATTTTGTGCCTATGAGTACTTTTGATTTCAATATTTGCAGAGAGGAAAAGTTACTGAATGGATAAAATTGGCTGGCTCTTCTGACTTTATACCCTGCAAGAAGCCCAGTGCATGAAATTTGTGCACTCGGGGAGGGGAGAGGGAGGGCGGGGGTCCCTCTGCCTGGCCTGTATCCTCTTGCAGTCCAGGAGCCCTTGAGCCTAAGGCAGTAGTTGGACATCTTTAGTGCTGCTGCGGAGGCAGGAGAGGCCTCTGCACTCACCAGCGTGAGCCCGGCTACTGGCTGAGCAGTGCTCCCCCTGTGGGAGCACATTGACCATCAGGGAGCAGCTCCTGTGTTGAGTGTCTGCCCCCTGGGGTCGGTGCACATCATAGTGACCAGTCATTCCACTGTTGGGCCAAAATTGGCTCTCCAACATCCTCCAAGGGGTGGGTTGTGAGAGGGTACAGGCCAGGCCGAGGGACCCCACTGGTGCATGATCAGAGCTGGGTAGGGTTCCAGGGTATGTCCCGCCCGTCTTGCTCAGTCCAGATCAGCCAGACCCCAGCAGCAAGAAAACCTACATGTCAGAGGGTCTGCCCCCTAGTGGTCAGTGCACATCATAGCAAGCAGTTGAATGACTTTAGCATATCATTAGCATATTACCCTTTGATTGGTTGAATGGCCAACCAGACAACCAGACACTTTAGCGTATTAGGCTTTTATTATATAGGATGATAAACTTATCTCATTTTAGATGAATTTGGAATTTTAAAATGCTTTGTTCATTCAAAACATGCTTAATATCTTAATGACCTGAGAGAGTATGGATTGCAGATCCCATTTGTGGAGTCACTTTCAGCCTCTCTGGCCTGGAACCTTGATTTCATTAGCTGCCTAGTGTCACCTGCATGGAGTGACAGAGTCATACAAAGCCCCTGCATGAGGAGAAGTTGTAGGCTTACGAGAGGGAACTCTGAAGTCAGAAGTCTGTCTATATTGCTTTTTTTGGTGAGTGGCTTTGGGCAAAGTGGCTTAATCTTTCTGAACCTCAGTTTCCTCAGCAGTAAGAAGAACTAAGTGAATTATTTGTGGCCTGTGGTTGGATAGATGCACCAATGTTTGCCTCTTTTTCTCTAGACTTTGCTTCTAATTGGCACATTCTTCTTTAGATTTATTGTCTGCAATAATTTTACCATCAGATCTTGCTGTGAGCCACTCTAGCTCTTTAGAATTTTCTCACTAGAAACTCACCATCCGCAGGATCAGACAAGGCAGGAGCCACAGACCAGACTGGGGTTGTGTGTGCATTCCTGTTCATTGGGGTCAGTCACTTAGAAGATGCAGCTAATAATTGCTTTGTGGCTATCTACATTTAGTGGGAAGCATTCTATTTTCTTAGGAGAAAAATTAGAAATTTAGATTTCTATCATTTTTTAATGTTTACAATTAATTTGCATTAAATATATTATGTGGAACACTCAAATCCCTCAGCAAGCTAAATGTGTACCATACAATGCCAGTTTGCCATGACTGCTCTACAGTAACCAAGGGGTCCTGGACTGCAAGAGGGCACAAGCCAGGCTGAGAGACCCTGCCCCCCAGTGTAGATATAAAAGAACAATTTTTTTCCTTATAAAGAGAACTCTTAGGATCTACCCTCTTAACAACTTTCTTCATTATTTTTTATTGTAGCGAATAGGTCTGGTGCATGAAATTCATACACTGGGGGTGAGTGTGGGGAGGGGGGTGTCTCTCAGTCTGACCTGCATCTCTCACAGTCTTAGGGGATATCTGACTGCTGGCTTGTAGCTGGATGGCCTTCTGCTCTTCTGCTGCTGCATGGCTTGCTGCTTGAGCTTCAGCAGCTTCAGCAGCTACTGCACGTACATGGGTTGGGCACTACAGTCTGTCCTGTGAACACCATTGAGTGGGTGAGTCAAGGCAGGCTCACCCTGAGTTCCCTGCGCTTCTCTGAGTCACTGAGTTATTAATACTGACTGCCTTCTACAGAGAACAGCACTGGGATCAGGCCTACGCTGGCAGTTGTACATCCCTCTCGCAGTCCAGGACCCTTCAGGGGATGTAGCAGGGCTGAGTGGTGCTCCCCCTGTGGGAGTGCACTGACCACCAGGGGGCAGCTCCTGCATTGAGTGCCTAGCCCCTAGTGGCCAGTGCAAATCATAACAACTGGTTGTTCTGGTTGTTTTGCCATAACAGTCACTGAGGCTTTTATATAGATATAGATATAGATATAGATATAGATATAGATATAGATATAGATATAGATATAGATATAGATATAGATATAGATATAGATATAGATATAGATATAGATATATTTTCCTCTCTGGGCCCTTGGCCTTAGAGAGGAAAATATGCTAACAATAAAAAATCCTTTCTTTCTATCAGACAATCTATTGTGTACTTGCCATTATTTTTTTTTTAAAGGTAAACAAGCCCTTTTAGGAGACAAATAAGACTGGTAGTATCCTATTTTATTATTTAGAGACACAAATTACTCGTAAACTTATGTATGGTGTGCATGAGGTGAAAGGAAAATGATCCTTTCTCTCACTTCTTTCACAGACATTTGTTTCATGGCACTGAATCAGCAAGATAATTGGGAGGCCACCTACACTTCCTGCATTATTTTCTAGAGGTGTATACACTAACAAAATTACATATAATGAGCCTCTGTTGCAGCCTATTTCCCAATACATAATGGAAGCAAAAATACCTGGAAGCCTGGGTTCGTTATCTGCCAGTTAGCAAATAAGAATCAGAGCCAGGGAGCTCCTGAGCATGTTTTCATGTGTGGGTGGAAACTGTTATCTGTATCAGAAAAATAAGATGGAGAGCATGCATATCTTACGTATTTTTCTCCCCTTCCCCTGCTCCCAGAAAGATATCTCGAACACATTTCATCGTGCTCCATCCGTCTCTGATCATCTGCTCATGTTGTGTTTGCATCGCATCTCCCTGAGCTGGAGCGTTCCCCCCAGCTTGTCCCCTGCCAGCTCCACCACAGTGTCTCCTTCTCTTGACATTTTCCCAGGTGCCCCCTTTCCCGTACTCCCTTTGTGCACACCTCTAGTAGAGCCATCACCTCCTCATTGATAATTGTTTGTTTGCATGCCCCCCCAACCCCCATTAACGTTAGAAACATCCCTGTATATCTTTTCTCCTGTTTGTAACTCAGTGCCTAACACATAGGTGGTGCTCAGAAACCCTTGTGACAGGAAAGCAGCCGTGTTTAGTTGGTCTCATGAACGAATGAATGTTAACAGGGTTGTAAGGTTGATTCCTGCGTTAGCTGACTGCAGTGACATGGGCAGAGCTAATCTCTGATAATCACCACAATTCTGATGGCTAGTGGCAGCCCTTTTCTGGCAGGTGTGGCTCTAGGGTGTGAAGAACTACTCAGTTCTGCCAAATCATTGCTGATATGGAAGCAGAGTGCTTTCTGAATTCTGATTAGGTGGTTATGGAATAATCAAGTTAGGCTTGAAGGGGAAAAGATTCTAACACGCAGGCATTTTAGACCTATTATTTGCTGTTAGAATTATTAAGTGATTATCCCGGGGGCCTTAGCTATGGAGCAGGCATACTTTTTATCAGTTGATTTTGTGGAAGGACTTTGTCAGAGTCCATCCTTCATATTAGGCTCTGCCCTGAGCAGCTGTAAGGTTAATATATCCACTTTTTACAAATTAGCCTTACACTGAAAAAATATGTCTTTTCGGCAGATGGAGGCATCCTTTCTATGGAGAGCACTCTTTGGAATTTAATCTTGGTAGCAATAATTATAAAGCTAGTTGTGAATGGTCCTCCAAATGTAGGGCCTGGCTGCCCAATCCCCCCGTGGTTCCCTCTTTCTTAGGCAGAATGAAAGAACTTGACCCTTTTTTCCCGTCTCACCCACTTTGGGCAATAGAGACTCCCCTATTTGAAGCACATCTTCTCCCGCGGAGTGAATCTTCTGTGTGCCTTTTGCAGGTACTACTCAGTCCTCTATCCTCTGGAGAGAAAAATATCTGACGCCAAGTCCCGGGAGCTGGTGATGTACATCTGGGCCCACGCGGTCGTGGCCAGCGTCCCGGTGTTTGCGGTGACCAACGTGGCCGACGTCTACGCCATGTCCACCTGCACCGAAGTGTGGAGCAACTCCCTGGGCCACCTGGTGTACGTCCTGGTCTACAACATCACCACGGTCATCGTGCCGGTGGCCACGGTCTTCCTCTTCCTGATACTGATCCGGCGGGCCCTGAGTGCCAGCCAGAAGAAGAAGGTCGTCATCGCCGCGCTCCGAACGCCGCAGAACACCATCTCCATCCCCTACGCCTCCCAGCGCGAGGCCGAGCTGCACGCCACGCTGCTCTCCATGGTGATGGTCTTCATCTTGTGCAGCGTGCCCTACGCCACCCTGGTGGTCTACCAGACCGTGCTCAACGCCCCCGACACGTCCGTCTTCTTGCTGCTCACCGCCATCTGGCTGCCCAAAGTCTCTCTGCTGGCAAACCCCGTGCTCTTCCTGACCGTGAACAAGTCTGTGCGCAAGTGCTTGGTGGGCACCTTCGTGCAGCTCCACCACCGGTACAGCCGCCGGAACGTGGTGAGCGCGGGGAGCGGGCTGGCCGACGGCAGCCTGGAGCCCAGCGTGCGCTCGGGAAGCCAGCTCCTGGAGATGTTCCACATCGGGCAGCAGCAGATCTTCCAGCCCGCGGAGGACGAGGAGGAGAGCGAAGCCAAGTACTCCGGCTCCGCTGACCTCCAGGCCAAGGAGATACTTGGCCCCTGCCTGGAGAGGGAGCAGGGGCCGCTGTCTGCGCCCCCTGTGCCGCCCCTGCTGGGCGCTGTGGACTCTCTATCCCAGGGGCCTTCAGCAGCCCCTGTGGAACCTGAGACATTCCCTGGCAAGTATTCCCTGCAGTTTGGTTTTGGTCCCTTTGAGTTGCCTCCCCAGTGGCTCTCAGAGACCCGAAACAGCAAAAAGCGGCTGCTGCCCCCCTTGGGGAACACCCCGGAAGAGCTGATCCAGACAAAGATGCCCAAGGTGGGCAGGGTGGAGTGGAAGATGAGTAGAAACAATAAAGTGAGCATTTTCCCAAAGGTGGATTCCTAGCAGGGATTGAAAATCCCCGGAACAGCAGGGAGCTCCCCAACTCCAGTCTGCCCTTCACCTGGCCCTGTGATGTGTATGATCTCATTGCAACCAGAACGGGTTGACTTTTCCTGTCTGGGCCAGATGCTTTTGAATGAGAGGGAAATCTATATAAAATCAATGTCTTTTTTATTTTATTTTATTTTATTGAGGGAGTATATATATATATTTATCTCAGTGATCCGTGTCCTTAGTAAAGTTCATGTTCCTCTTTGTGGAGACAAAAGTTGGGCATGTGTGTACCCCATGTGTGTTTTCTGGGGATCCTCAGTTCTCTGGGTCCAGCAGAGAATACACGGAGAGAAAAAGCATCCATCCATGAGCTCAAAGGAGCAGGGCCACTCGAAGGGAAGCCCAGATAACTGTGGAGTGGTGTGGGCACAAAGGAAATGCCTATTTAATGGACGTAAGAATGATTGATTTGCACCTTCAGGGAAGACAGGGACTTGGCATGTGACAGCTTTTCTTTGGAAGGCCCGATCATATGTCTGGCAGTTTCTCCCGATGCCTATCAGCCCTTGCACTGGGATGTGGGTAAGGAATGGCCCTACTGCCCCCATCTGACAGACACGGCAATAGACGTGCCTCGTGATGAGTGATACGATCTGTCCTTGGTTATCCTGACGTTCCCAGGCACTGCTGTGGCCTCAGAAAGACACATCTGCAGTTTTGGTTGGAGAACACCACAAGCTTTTTACTATGTCTTTCCCCCCTTATTTTATTTGTTTTGTTTATTTATTTGTTTTCAACAAATGAAGGAGAGAAGAAAGACACTAGTCTTGTCCACACACTATAGTTTTTTCTCTTCCCAATTGATCTCACCTGAAAGGTGCTACATATCAGTCGTTAGAAGTAAAGTACTTAAAAAAAAAAAAAGTGATCTCATGCCAACTTTTGTAATTCAGAGGCAATTTTAAAATGCTAAGTCAGTGTAAACGGGGCCCCTGCAAACATCAAGCTGACCTGCTTGATTAGGAAAGGTGGTTCTGCCCAAAAGGGTGGGAAAGGCAGACAGAATCGGTCCCCTTTCCGAGGAGGGCTCCGGACTCCGGCTGGCCAGTCTCGTGTGCAGTCCCTTCACGTTGGCCACGAAGGAGGAACAGAACAGGGAAAAAGAATTGATCGTAAAACGCCACAGCAACGTGTAGTAACCCAGGTGAACTCTCCAGTTCCTCTTCCCCGGGGAGGTTTCAGCAGGAGCCAGAGTGGATGGAAGAGGGAAAACAGTGTCCTTATGACTAACCGCGGGGGCTCTCGCAGGCGATTCAAGTCCCCTCGTGCATTTCACCAGGCTGAATTCAAACTGCACAGGACACCGTACTCTCATCGAGTGCCCATTAGGTGCCAGCGCCCTTCTCCAGGGCGTTTTGTCCTTGTTGGTAGCATGCGCGGGAGCCCAGCCAGTGCCTTGAGAAAGCCTGAGGGAAAGTGGGCCTGCTCACCGCATCTCAGAGGCCATCCTCCCCTTAAACCATGCTGGTCCTTGTCCCTTGGAGGCAGTGCCAGACTGTGTAAGAAGTCTCCGTTTCCTCTCCTGTCCTGAGTGCGATGTCTTAGAAGTCCTGAATGGGAACCCAGACCTTTCCTTTGTGTTTTGTCTCCTTGAAGTGTTGTGTGCTCGGGGACTGCCAGCCCCTCGCCAGGGCCTCTTCCTCCGGACCCTGTGTGCATGCCATCTGCAGCTCCCTGCCCTGATGTTAATCTATGGCCCTTCAAGCTTACCTTTCAAAACCCTCACAAGTGTTACAACTTTCGTCAAGGGGAAACATAATCTGTCAGAAAAATTGTGTCTACTTTAGAAGAATCTTGTCAAATGTAGCCACTTTGGTGTCGTTCTGATAATATGTATGTACAACTGAAAATCTGATGAGGCAGATTTGGTAGGTATTTCTTCTGTAAGTTTGAAGCAGATGGTTGACTTCTAACAGGTCTTGTGAGGTGTATTTCTATACTCTCTGAAGCATTACACTTTAATAAAAAAATTGAAAAACAGTTAAAAAAAAAAAAAAGAACTGAACTCAAAAAAGATTGTCTGAGCTATGTATTTTTTCGTTTCTTCTTTTCCCTCAAGTGTCAGTTACCATCTGAACCTCAGGCTTCCTACATGATCTCAAAGGAAAAGTATTTGTGTGTGTGTGTGTGTGTGTGTCCCCGCCCCCCCCCCCCTAAATACAGATGGCAGCATGGCAGTAGCACATTGTTGCAAATTTAAAAATGAATTGCCAAAGGAGAAAAATCCAACATTTAAGTGAATGTCACAAACATATCTCCGTATTGAATTGGTGGAAAGACGGCTCCCTCTCCAGGGGAGTCTGGGGTACAGCCTTCCTCCTCCCTCATGTGGTAGGCTTCTCTGCCACTGACTGGCCTCTGAGCTGAGTAGGTGGTAACCTGTGTGTGCCGCAGTTGTCTCTCTGTAAAATGGGAAGATGATCGCTGTGTTAGTCTTTGGCCCCAGTTCGCATACTTCACCTCTGATGGGAGCCCCATCCTCGGCGGGCCCCTGCTGGCTGCACCCATGACCTTCCGGGAGAGTAGCCAGAGGCTTTGCTTTGTTTTCTGCTCCGTGAGAACTCCCTTGCTCCTGGATGACCCCTGATCAGTGTGCCATGGGAACCAGTGGATAAATGCCCCTGTCCTGTCCTACTGGACAAGTGTGAAAGGCATCTGTCCATATCTCAGGCAGTCAGGCAGAATTAAGTCCCTGCTGCCCACAATGGTGTCTCAGTAATGTTGTTGTTGTTGTTTTTTTTTTTTTTGTAAATATATTTTATTGATTTTCCACAGAGAGGAAGGGAGAAGGATAGAAATCTAGAAATGTCGATGAGAGAGAAACATCGACCAGCTGCCTCCTGCACACCCTCTACCGGGGATGTGCCTGCAACCAATGTACATGCCCTTGACCGGAATCGAACCTGGGACCTTTCAGTCTGCAGACCGATGCTCTATCCATTGAGCCAAACTGGTTTTGGCAGTAATGAATTCTTATTGACTTCCTCTTCCTTGCTTGTTGGAGTTTCTTTCCTCCCTATTCATGCCCTCAGGGGTCACCTCCCCAAAACACTACCACATAAAGCCTTTGTCTCAAGCTCTGTTTTCAGGGGAATTCAAGTAAGACAAGAATATACCTCATGGCGCAGTTGTGAGGATTAAATGGGGTGATCTGTGTTAACATGATGCCTGGCATAAAGTAAAGATCTACCAATATTAGTGCTTATCCACTGTGTCTTTTTTTTTTGTTTTGTTTTGTTTGTTTGTTTTTTAAGTGGTTAGGGGGCTTAATTGGGATAGTTTCCAGAAAATTACATTAACCAGGCACTCCAATTACTATTCATAATAATAATTTGAGGCACTACACAATGCCGAAGGACTTTGATTCCCTGAAGAAAAAATACTTATGTAAGGTAAACTATTTCTTAACCAAATAATTCTCAGTTTTCAAAAAATAAAATAAAATGGAGGGGGGGGGGATGTTAAAAGAATGTTCTACTTTGTTGTAAACCTGTAAGGCAGGTTGTGAATATGAAGGAGCACAATTTTCTATGTTGGTGAAATATGAGGCAAGCGAGTAACTACGGGCAGATGGACAAATCAGTGTGGCCCCACCCATGGAAAAGGACTGCCAGTTAATCACTTGGTGTGCTAAGTAACATCTGGAGCTCAGGCACAAGTTTGATTTGACGGGACAGGGGAACGGCTGCTCCATCTCAGCTCTGGGAGTTCAGAACTCTTCGCTGCCCCGGGTGAGGTGGCTCAGGGTGCACAAGGCTGCTGCTGCCGCTACTGCTGTGAGCAGGGAGCTGAGATGCTCAGGATAAAAAGCCTGTTTGATTAGGCTCATCTTACTAAATGTTTACAACTCTTTGAGGGAGGGGAAGGGTTAATACTTTCATAGCAACATACAATGTAAATCAATAGCATAGCAAAGGGACTAACTTCCCCCAAATAGTTGTAAACATTTAGTAAGTTTATGTTAACCTCTTGTGTTACGTTAGAATTTTGTAGCCAAAAGAAAAAGAATTCATGGTTAATGACCTGAGAATATGTGAATAATACAGGAATGGAAATCAGTACTAATGCCCAGGGCAGCATCAAAAGCTTTTTGGTGTGAGCTCCTGGCTTTTAAAAGAAACTGAAATGGTCTAAGACTGTCCATACACAAGGTTTTGGAAACTAAAGTATCTCCCCTTCTCTTAGCCTCAGGTACAACAAGTATATTTTTTGGTTGTATTGATCAGAATTTAGTGATTGCATCTCCTGCCTCTTAAATTTCTTTCTACTGTTGTGGGGTCGAACCCTGGGTTCAGAATAAGACCACCGGAGGCTGATGATTGATTAATAAGCAGGCAAAGATGTATTGAAATATCTGGCCAGGACAGACGCGAGAGCACCACACGCAAGTGGTCTCCACACGACTGCACCGTTTCAGGGGTAGGAAGTCCCTTTTAAAGGTTCAAACCACAGGAATTTTCCTTTGTTCTAAATTCTGAATCTTACAGACTACATTCTAAAGACTGGGGTCAGCCCGCAGGGTCGTTGCTAGTCACATCCTGCTGGACATTGGATTGTGGCCCTATCCTGCAATAGCCTATAACATAGAGGCAGAGCTCAGAGGTTATCTGCAGTTTCTATCTCTGAAGGTTACTGAGTTAGTGGGAATTACTCTCCTGTGCTCCTGGTCCCAGGCAAGGGAAAATTGCCTTAGCCTCCAAGTCTCTACCTGAAAGCTAAGGTAAATAGTGTCCTCTCCCCCCTTCCACCCTTCCGTGTTTAATCAGGTGCAAGAGCCAAACTAGAAGGGTTAAAATTCAAACAGCAGTTTTTACCAAAGTAGGGTTGCCACTATATTTCACTACATGCTTTTTCATTGCAGTCTATATTCAAAAGGTAATACACACATACAGAGGAGGTACTAGAATGACATGATATACATTCTAAGGCAACAGGTGAGAAAAATACAA